TCAGCCACCATTTCTGGTTTTTCAAATTTGGTCAGTATCGGATCTTAAACAGCTCTCAGGCCAGGTCGCTACAGACTGAGCTACTGCTGCCCCAATTGAGCTATATTGAAGAACTGAAAATATGTATACAAGTATTTTTTATTTTGGGCTGGGTCAGGAGGTGGTGTTGGGGAGGTTCAAGCAAACACGGCAGCACTGCAGTTTCATACTGATGTTTCAAACCACCAACTGTGTGAAATGTAACTATTTTGTCTTCCTAACCAATAAATAACTGTCAAATTAACTTGAATGTTATAGCCTTCAGAATTATTCAAAGTGTAGTTTCACTAAGAGACCAATAGTGGCAACAGGAACACGGCATGGAGAAGAAACCCTGCTGTTCAGTTGGCATCCTACAGTGTGATAGGATGGAGAAGCACCACGACAACAACAAGAACTGAGCGAACATCTCTTCTTTTATCATTCTGACCTGCCATCTTGGAACAGGAAGACTAAAGTTTATACTTGTAGTTGGGTTCCTCATGTCTTTAGTTAGTCGTGCATGGTTTACATGTTTTATGTCGGTGCAGAGAAATCAAAATGTCATCATCCACAGAAAAGGCAAGCAACAATGTTCTTATACCTACAACTTTTCTGTTGGATCCCCTTTGAGTCTATTTTTGAAAAGAGAAAAGAAAACCACACCCACATTTTTAAATGTGCCATGCTAATATAGGCTGTCAACCTCTTTAACAACAGGTGGAGTTAATCATCCGAACCATTCTTTGGAATAAACGTCTAAAAACACTAAACATTCACCTACAATATATAGCAGAGATACATTGATTTTTAGAAAGTGTCAAACGATTTGTTGGGAAGCCATTCCTCATCAGTATTAAATATCTTTCTTTCTTTTTGTAGGATACATTTTAGGGCTTTTTGGGTGCATTTAATGTAGAGATAGGACAGTGGATAGTGTCGGAAATCAGGGAGAGAGAGTGAGGAATGACGTTAGGGAAAGGAGCCACAGGTTGAATTCAAACCCGGGTCGCCCGCCCTGCCTGGAGAACCCCGGCTTTCTGACAAGGGGGCACACTAACCACTACACTACCGGTACCCCACATTGTACATTGTACTGGACTGCATACTAGACCAGTCTGCATTTAACACAGAAACTATGAGAGGACTATAAGAGGACACATTCAGAGAGAAAAACAAGAGATCATGATTATATACCATTCTATGAAAAGTTGAATAGTTAAAGACAGTGCAGAGAAATCCCACACAATATAATATTTTAAATAGGGGAATTTTTTCTCTTAGATTAAAAAAGAATATAATTACTTTCCCATGTTCTCCAAACACTGAATAATAACAAAAATCTAAAATGTTAAGTCCACCTAAAAACATTTCTGGAAGGTACTCTACTTGAATTTCAAAAATTATTTGAGCTTGTTTAAGTTTTGCATTCAGTTTGATCCTTTTGGTCGGTTGGCCACTTTACTCATGACCGAAGTTCTCTTGAAGCTTTCCTTGCGTGACTGTGACTTTTCTTATTCCACTGAGAGTGGTTATATTTATCTGTTTGTACTAGCTTGCACCTTTACATTATTTATAATACTGACTTTCTTGCAGCTGGTGACATGTTTGGCTTTAAAGGTTAATACAATGTTGTGATTTCTGTTATCGAGACATCTCTGACAGACTGTCAACACCAAAGTGTATGAACAGGAAGAGATGGAAAAAGAACTCGATGCTGGATGAGAGGCGATCGAACGAACACTGACAAAGGAAGAAAGATGGAGGCGAGCTTTTTCTCTATTTTTTTATCTTTCCAGGGAGTGCAAAGCTCCTGCACTCAGAGGATAAAGAACTGCATCTTCTCTCTCGCTGTAATCCATAACTGTGATTGCTTCATTCACCTCAGTGGCCTATCCATAAACCCATCTTTTGTTTCTTGACCACCCTCTGTATCAGAAGTTTAATGATTTTTCCACTTTTACCAAAGAATTAAAATTGCAGAGGGCCGTATATAAACATAAATGTGTCCTTTTTCCTTGGGCAGAAGCGTTTAACTTGAAGAGCGTTGTGCTTAGGTGGAGGAATATTACATGCTTTACGGTAGAGAAGAGTGGAATTGGAATGATGCCCTGAGAGTTTCATCAAAGCATTTTAGCCGCTGTTAAAATACAAATATCTGATGTATGAGGTCACTCCTGGGCCACTTTGAGAGGACTGCTTTGAAGAGAGGGTATTAAATCCATTTTTCTCTCAGAACTCAGTCGAGAATCTCTTCAGTTTCCCTTTTCAATAAGTTTGAAGGAACATTGTTGTTAGCATATGTAAATGAGATCCAGTGTTCCCATGTCACCCGACGAGAAGGAGATTGGAGGAAGCTATGGCAGGAAATAACTTCTTCTCTTCAGGGTGGCTGCCTGTGCAGGTCCTGGGTGTTCTCATGTGAAAGGGATCAAAGCAATCTTACTCAGCCCCTCTTAAGAACGATAGATGTACGAATGCGGGAAATCAAATCGGCTTCGAAAAGGGAACACCACTGGGAGCTTTGAAAGATGAGACAGCAGTGAGAGAATGGGAAACCAGTGTGAAATCACTCCTGTTGTTGCACCGTATGAGAAGGGAGCACAGCTGTCTGCTGCTGTCCTCAGAGGCTTTGAGCAAGATGTCTCTTGCTCGGGTGTGTTCGGGTATATGTTACACAGAGTCATGAGAAGGCCAGGAAGTAAATACATAATGTAAAATGTGTGTGAAGCAGAATACTGAAGAACGGACGAGAGAGTTGTTATAAATGAAATGAAGCTGACAGTTTCAGTTAGTGATTTTGGCAAACATGCTTTGATATGATGCGTTTATGCTCAAGTGTCCCCTCTCGTCCCTTCAGAATGCGCTATGAAAGCTGATTTTTGCAGCTTATCGCCTGAACTGAGAATAAGCCTTGTGAGGAAGGTGTGACATCAACTAGCTTAGACAGATAGAAACGAGAGGAAAACTAAATTCCTCATACTGACACCTTGCCTTCCTCCCATGCTCGTCAGAGATGGGACTGTGGATTTGTGTATGCGCAGCACGACAAGGCTCCACATACCATCTACAATCTGTAAGCACTTCCACTTGAGCCTGAATAGGTGTATTTACTGTAAATCCAGTGTGGTTCAGGTACCAACATAATGTACAGAGCTGGGCTGCAGTTTGCTCTGGATAATCATTTGGTGCTGCGACGAATGGACCTTATCGGTCGAAGACTCTTTTTATTGTTTAACGTTTGGTTGACAATAGGGAGGCCGCCTTTGTTTCTGTATTTTTAAACATAAATATTTGTAATATTTTTTCCTGAAACTAACCATGTTTCATGTTAGACAGGAATAGATGCTACCATGTGTCTGAATGGGTCGCCAAAGAGTGACAGAGCTTCTGTATTTAAAGGGTCCCATATTATGCTTTTTCTGGTTTTATATGCTCTTTAGTGTGTTTTCCAAGTGTCCTGTGCATGTTTAGGCACATCTATTTGCAAAAATTCAAAGTCTGCGGAAACGCGGCTTCTCCTACGTCCTCCTGTTAGCTGTAGCATTAGCCGCATGTAACGCTCGGTTCTAGCCCCCCTCGATAAAAACGTGTCAGTCCGACGTCATTGTCAGTGTGATATCACAGATCTAAGCCCATTGGCTCGTTGTGGCAAGCCCAGCAGCTCATGTTGCACGCCCGTTAACTTCTGTAACACGCCCACGATATGCCGTAGCCTGCGGTAGCACAGTAGTGCTAAGGTGCTAATGTTTATGCTCCCCTCGGACGGAGCCAGTGGCTGCATTCCCAATATGGTAAAAGAGGCGTGACATTTCCGAGAACCGTGCTGAGCAACTGACCAATTACGACAGAGCCGACAGGCCGACCAATCAGATCAGACTTGGCACACGTGGGGACTCTGAACGTGGGCACTTCAGAGCAGAGAGTCAGAAGCGAGCCGGTGCATGGAGCGGCAGTACATGAAAACAGACACTTTTTTCAAAGTATTGTGAATATACTTTAGTAGGTACATAGATTAAATATACGAACCTTAAAAAAGGGCATAACATGGGCTCTTTAAGAAGGCATTGCGTATTTAAATGTGCGGTTAAGGTTTGGATTGTCAACAAGAGTGGATGACTTCAGTTCTATTTGATTGTGGTTTAAGTTTATCTCATGTTTCTTTTAAAAGTAATTAAGGCTGGAAAAAGTAAAAGCTTCTCTGTAAAGAGAAACTTTCAGAGCAGCCTCTGGATGACAGCATAATCCATTATTTTGAGTAAATTGAGAAATGTTCAGTCATTTTTTCCCACTAAAATCAAATGTTGTGCTCTCATACCAGTGCTTGAGTGGTTTGAGTTAGCTGATTTACAAGTTTGTTAGATATCTAATGTCAGAGCACGTACTTATTATGCAGATGCACGAATGTAGTAAGTGACAAGATCCGACTGATTAGGAAACAAGTGCTAAATTTGCAGTTGTGGTTTTATTGGTGGCACACCAAAGATGTATTCATTGTCAGCCAGTGAAAAGAATATGAGGCTAGTTTGCTCTCAGCCCTCTAATTCAAACTCATGAAAGGCATCACTTTATATGTACTTCTAGGCATGTTAGAATCTTACATCAGTAACCATGAGTTTTTGATCTGCCCAGCTCAAGAGCAGCTGTTAATTAAACCATGATCGTAAATCCATTTATATGTCCTTGTGTGGTAAATTAAAGTTTTGCTCCATGTTGGAAATTGAATTGATTTTGGTCTAATCCAGAAGTAGCTAAATACATTCTGAGTGATCCAGATGATCTGATGGGATTTGTCGTTTACTACAACCAAAATTGGATTGCAAAATGAATATGTTCTTCAGAAATACTGACCCCTTGATATCCTGATGTTGTTATGGGTAGATGTCCATTTTTTGTTGGTATTTGGTAACATCTGTCCAAGCAAGGGGCTAGTGGGGTCGCTGAATGAAAACTCATCTCCTGTTTTTTTTTTTTTTGTCCAGGTGGGCAGGCAATAAGGCTTGACAGAAGATGCAACGGGGGTGGTGGCTCGTCAGATGGCTGGGGACAGGAATGGCAATCCTCTCTTTGGTAACCCACAGCTGGGGCCAGGACACAGAAGGTAAGAGCTGCTAGCACTGAAGCTCATACCCTCAGGCTTCCCCCTTCTTAAGATCAATGTGCCTGCACTGCTAAGATTAAACTTGTCATGTGGATGAGCAATGTGTCAGAACACCAGCATCATGAAAAACATTGAGTACAACTCCATGAATCTATGGTTTCTGTTTCTGAATAATGTGCTAAACTGAAGTGTGGATCCATCTAAAAATATTGAACCAGTGTTGGCCGAGCTACATGCAAAATGAACTAAGCTACTATTACTCTATATTAAACTTCAGTTCACTTCAGCGACACAGCAAAAGTAGCATTGGACTGATCTATACTGAAATAATAAACTTTTCTGAAATAAATTTCAAGCAAATAACTTCTGCCAGCGACTGAAAATCACATGGTAAAATCTGTAAAAAAAAAAAAAAATTGTATCTCTTCCAAAACATATTTACAAGATGGTTTGAATACTATTTAAAAAATAAGCCATTCGAATAACGATTAACTGTGTATATATATATGCCTGTTTCTCACTATGCCGTAGCTAAGTGGATAGCAGAAGATCAATCTGTTTTTTTTTCAAATTATGCAATATTGATATGTTTTTGGAAGGTTTAATTATGTTTTCCCAATTAAAATGTCTTAAGTAACATAAATTATTGAAAATGTAAAGTCAGTGCGTAGTTGTAGAACTTTGAACAGAGTTCCAGAACAGTTTGATTCCTTTCACTTACTGTAGTAGGACCGTGGAGGCCACTCTCTCAGATGAGCTCTACACATAATGCATCATACTTCAGTGCAAATAACATTGCTCTCAGTATTCTTAGTATCCTTCCTTTGAATGTGCATGGTTTTAAGAAAGACATTATTTAAAAAGAGGGTGTAATTCCAGCTTTCTTACCACCCAGTTCACAGATAATATAAAGAGGATTCTCCTTGTAGTTCCATGCGTAGGTTCCCGCATTACAGAGGAAATCTCAACATTTTATGGTCTCAATTCACTGACTTTGTAGCAGATGCCAGTTAAAAGTGAATTTTCAGCTGCAGGAGATTGGCAGGTCTTTAAAGATAGCGCTGAGTGGAAGCTGCACATGCAGAGAGGCATGCTTCCCCCCCCCACCCATGTGGAAATATTTCAGGTCAATTTTGAGATCCGTTTCCTTCCTTTCCTATTCATCTCCATCCTGATTCTCAAGCTGCTGGATACCAATTTTTTTTTAAAAGAGAATAATCTCTGCTTACTGTAGCTTGAATTGAGATTTGGTTTTTAAAAGGTTTGCTTCATGGGTTTGTACAACATCATTTGATGACTGACTGAGCCTTTGAAGGTGAATGACTGCCTTGGGGCTTTGGATGATGTCTCTCTTTACTGCCCTTATAGCGTTCATATAAGTTTTCATCCGAGGAGTGAAGATACCACTGACCACCAACTAAAGAGAACTACTCAATGGAAAATGTGGTTGTGGGTCATTTCTTTTGAGTCCCCATGAAATAAAAAATTCTATTTCCAGGTTTTAATTCAGCGATGGAGCATTATCTGAGTATCTTCAAAATCTAAATATTTGTATTTTGTCTTCCTTTAAAACTTTTCAAATTTCTGATGATGACTCATCCTGCACTCAGGGACGTTGACTCATTTTTCAACTTATTAAAATAAAATGTCGAAGCTATCGATCCTATCAAATTCAACCCAATGTTATGTCCCGCCTTCTATCTTGTAACTGGTTTTATCCCTTTCAATTGGAAATACGTCATGACACAGCAGTTAGATACTCTTAAAGTTCCCTTAATGGGAAAAATACTTGAAAGTTTAAGCCTTGAAATCAACCCTGCCCCTCGACACAGCACAGTGATTATCAAATAATACACAATCTTTTCCTTGGATTATCACTGATCAATACATTGGTTTCTGCTCTGATGTGATCAAAACCTGTCTTGGCATGTCCCGCGACCCTGTAATAAGAAAGCACCCCAGTGTCATAGTTGCAATGCAGAGTAAGAAGCTGAGAAAGAGTGTCAGAGAAGCTTTGGTTTGAAGGATGAGGGTGAATGCCGATGCCGTTCACTATTCAGCGTCCTTCTGAACTTGGTTTGATCAGAGAATTTTCACCTCCCTAAACACCACATCCCTCATCTTTTCACCCATAAATCTCCCAGCTCGGCCCAACCTCGAGGTGTCCTTGGCTTTTGGCTCTCTGCAAACTTGTTTGTTGTGTGTCTCTAAAAGAAAAACAAGAAAAACAAGAAATTTTCAGTTGTGTAGCAATTCATGTCGCAAATTTACAAGTGACATCAAAGTGTCTTTGTAATCTTTATTGAATTAACCGAGGGAAATATGAATCTCAGGCTAGTGATTTTTCGAACTGGCTCACTGAGAAAAAGGGGGCTGACCTTGACAATGACAGGATTTCTTCAAATCAATTGCCTGATATAACTTCAAAGAAAACATGTACCTTCTTGGATGAATGTGTTCATTCAGGGCTCTCTTTTTTTATTTACGCCAAAAACCTTTTCATGACTGTGTCCTGCAATGATGAATTCACCAATAAACAAACATAAAACTAAGCAAAGATTCTCTACATCTTCCAAAAACACAATGTCCAACTCTCTGTGTCTATCTTCCATTTCTACTCCCACGTTCCCTCAGTTTTCTGTCCCTTAATTCCTTTCCCTAACACCTCTTCTGCTTTCATTCTTTATTATTAATCCCATCTTCTGTTCATGTTATCCTCCTTACAGTACATCACATTGGTTCTTGCTCTTCAGAGTTACATTGTTGACAGTAAATATGCATGTAAACGGCTCAGCGTCCGTCCTATATGTCCATTGATCCTTGCGTGACATGATACTAGTACGCCTAGCAGTCTGACAAATGACAATCGAAGGACAAACTTCAATCCGAAGCAGAGCAGACAGATGCACGCAGTCCATACCTCTAAATCCCTCCATCTCTGGATCCAGATGTCCAGCAACTGCATGCTTAGTTATGTGTGTGTGTGTGTGTGTGTGTGTGTGTGTGGTGAGGTAAGGATTAGTCGCTTGGTGGATGCTTCTGCCATGTGACATCAGCCTAACTCCCTCACTCACTATTTCTATCCCTCTCTCTTTCCCACTTTTCCCATCTGCACACCCGTCCTGACCCACAATTGTTTGTCTATTTCTGGGATTGTCTGATTAGAGGCCCAGATGTGCAGACTTTGTCTGCCTGGAGAAGCCTGTGGAGGGAGCAGCGGAGAGACCGTTGGGGTGGGGTGGGGTGGGGGGGTTTAATCTGCCTGCCAGTTGGCTTTAATCAGGCCCCGGGCAGCACAAGAAAAGAGGGGGAGCACTCTCAATAAGACCGGGGAACCTTTTCGGTCAGGGGTCTGTACAAACCGGCTTACACTGGAGCTCAGTATGTGAGCGTGTGTGTGGTGAACTGCTCATCGCCAGTGTGATTGCAACCTTTGCCCTCCTGCCTGTGTGGTTAACCTCACAGAGAGACAAAGATAGGCAGCAACATGGGAGACGTCTGAGCAACAGTAGGAGGGGGAAGGCTTCAGCTGGGGATTAAAAGTCAGTAACATAATCCCCTTCTCTCTTCCATTATCAGCCACTAATGATTTGGATGCTGCAGGAATTCTTTCTCTCTTTCTCTCTTTCTTCTCCCCACTGTTTTTTTTTTCATTGCCTGTCTCACATTTGCTTTTCTATTTCGACATTTTCTACTATGCTTGTGTGACCCTTAAAAAACAAGCAGACACGTAAAATTACAGCGAGAAGCCCCGCAGAGACAACAGCACTTCTAATGATGAGCGGTTCGAAGAGAGAGAAATGGAAATAGACAGAGACAGCAGCAGTGATTGCATTCCGTGTGCCAAACACATATATGCTGCAAGAGGAAGCAGAGAGCTCTGTCTGACTCAACATTGATTTAGCTGTGACAGCGAGGGGATGGCGAATGTTAACAACATTCTTTGATTGTTTACAAAAGAGAGCTGACTCAGATTACTAGAGTGTTGTGTCACCATGAGCTGGGTTTGAATTCTTGGACAGTTGTAATAATCTAATATGTAATAATATATCATAATCTTAATTTATAATTATATCATAAATAGGAGGCTATCTTAGATAATAATACATTTTATTTAAAGGTGCTTGAGGTCACCTTACAAAGCAGAGATAAAAATGAGCATCAGATTAACAATAAATTGATCAAATGAACACAAAAGAACAAAGTTACAATATTAAATCACTGTGAAGAGGGCTTGCGAGATAGGATGGATAATAGTTAGGCTGAATTTGCCAGTCTAAAAAGATGTGTTTGAGAGGAGATTTAAAAATGGAGTGAGAGTCAATATTGCGGCTGTCTGGTCGGAGGGAGTTCCAGAGGTGTTGGACGTTTGGGTGGGTGATGCAGGGATTTGAATTGAAGAAGAAAACCTGAGAGTAGGGGTGGGTGTGTTGATGTGCAGGAGTTCAGAGAGGTACAGAGGAGCGAGGTTATGGATGGCCTTAAAGGTGAGGAGCAGAATCTTCAAGTCAATACGGTTTGTAATTGTGAGCCGATGAAGCTGTTGATGGTAGGGGCTGGGATTTAATATGTTTTGACCTCTTCCCACTCCTTTTCTGCATTACACTTTCCACTGTTTGTAATTAGGGCCCGGTCGATATGAGAATTTTGGGGCCGATACTGATATCGATATTATAAAGAGAAAAAAATCTGATACGATATATCATTTATAGATCTATCTTTGATCTGTAGAAATTGAAAATATAGACATTTATGGTTTTGATCCCTCAAATGCAGTTCTCAACCCCTTATAATGCTTGTTGTAATCCACAAAGCGAAATTGTTTTTGACTTGTGATTAAATCCAGTCATTTCGGCGCATATCTGCGATCAAATTAGCCAATACGATAGTCACTCCATATGCCAATATTGGCATTTATTATCGGCTGGCCAATGAATTGGTCGGGCTCTATTTGCAATTATTTATTTTCAGTTTTTATTTTTATTTTTTTACACTCTACG